TGGGGAGGCCGTGTCTCTGTTCTTCCTCTCAGGCCATTTGTACTCAGTTCCAGTTTCTATTTTGAAATTGATTGCGTCTTGATCAACCGCTCACGTTCCTTTTCAGAACACCGAGAGGTGATCTGTTTCTCTCAACCGGAGGCAGGGCTGCTTCTGGAGCTGTTTTTGGGTTGGGTCAACAGCCCAGGTACCACCAGAATTAGCGGGGAAACGTGTATTGAGGGCACTGACTCTGCAAAGACTGCCTTGGACGAGCTGCATCACCCAGACTCCATCCCCACACTCTCCATCTCTGTCTCACATTGGCCCATTCGATCAACACTTAGGGCAGTGGTTCTCAACCTTCTGGCCCTTTAAATACAGTTCCTCATGTTATGATGCAACCATAAAATTATTTTCGTTGCTACTTCATAACTGTAATGTTGCTACTGTTATGAATCGTCATGTAAATATATCTGATATGCAGGATGGTCTTAGGCGACCCCTGTGAAAGGGTCGTTCGACCGCCAAAGGGGTCACGACCCACAGGTTGAGAACCGCTGACTTAGGGAGTCCTGACTACGAGCCAGGTTCTGTTCTGAGGCTACAGGCACGAAAAAGCCTGGTCCCTGGTGCCCAGATTATACCCCAACACAGAAAGCACTGTGGGGTGGCAGGGGGTCAGCATGGTGCCCCCTGTCGGCCTCTCCAGCTCAGCTCACAGCTCTCCAGCCCTCCTCCCTCGCCTTGGCCTCCTGCCCTTCATTCTGTTCCTGGTTGTCCTCTCTTCCTTCCTGTCTGGAATGAACTTTCCCCATCTCCCCACCTGGCCAGCTCCTCAGCATCAGTCAGCACAGCTACACGCCCTCCCCAAGGAATTCTTCCCCAACCATCTCATCATTTCCTGCGGCCGCCCCGCAGACACCCCAACAGTCTCTGTCACGTCACCCCTTTCCTCCTGTATGCATGGCCACCGTATGACAGTACCTTGCTTATTTATTTGTGTGCTGCATATTGTCTGTTTCCCCCAAATAAGATGTCATCTCCACGAGGGCGGAGACGGTGAACCTTGCCTTCATCGCTGTGTTCTCAGTGTCTACAACAGTCTTGGCACAGATCATATGTGCCAAGGACGTGACTTTAGGAGGTTGCCAGGCGACCAGGTATGCAAGTGAGCATTTCCCAAACAAAGACATGAAGCATTAGGGGAATGACGGGAGTGAGCAGGCGGTGGACGGACGGGGCGAAGGGATCCAATTGGAGGCTGAGAAAGTAGGCAGGGACATTGTGGTCATAATCTGTGGATGTCAACCTCAAGAGTTTTGTTGTGTGTTTTTTCCCTCTGGGACAGTGAAGTGGGCGGACGGGGCGAAGGGATCCAAATGGAGGCTGAGAAAGTAGGCGGGACCCTGTGGTCATAATCTATGGATGTCAACCTCGAGAGTTTTGTTGTGTGTTTTTTCCCTCTGGGACAGTGATAGTCACTCATCAACTAAGCCTGAAGGAGCCATGACCTGCTCTCGGAGACGGCCTCTTGATTTCAATGGCGACGGGGAAGCCACGCCTGGCATAGGACAGGTGCTGAGATCGCTGCAATTGAACTGTGATTGGTTGGAGGTCATGGCTCTTGTCAAAACAGGCTGTGAGCATGTGGTCCAGAGGAGGAGAAAGCACAGGCTGAAGAGGGGGAGCTTCTCAGGGGTCACCAGCTCCAAACACACAAATATCCTCAGAGGGAGGATGTGAGCTTGTCACACGTCCTTAGGAATCCACCTGCCGACTCTATTCACATTCAGTTCTTGCTAAGTATTTCATTGCGCACCCCATCTTCCAGCTGGGCCAGCCTCACTGGTTTCTACCAACCTGGTGGGAAGAATCCCCGCTTTGGAATCAGAAAAGCTGGACTTAAGTTCCAGAAACATTTTAAAAGCTGCCAAATATCGAGCCCTTGCTGTGTGCCAAGCATTATGCTGAGTACATGACACACATCTTGTTTTATTTACTCTTCCAAGAAATTCTCTAACGCAGGCAGTAATATCGTCAGCCTTGTTTTGCAGGTGAGAAAAACAAGCTGAGGTTCCACAGCTCAGTTTTCAGCGCTATAAATTGTTTCCTGATCCACATAACGTAAACGAACATCTCACAGCAAGTGTGATCATGGAAATCGGGTGGGCCACCATGTGAGTGTCGGGCGAGGCTCTGTCCTCCATGGCCAGCGGCGAACACGTCACCCACCGTAAAGCTTGTTAGAAACGCAGAGCTCGGGGCCCCTCTCCGAACTCCCCGAGCCAGAAGCCGCATTGTAACAAGACTCCCCGGACACGTGCATGCACTTCAGTTTGGAGAAGCAGTGATGTAAGCGGTTACTAGCCCCCGCTGTGCATTGTTGAGCTGGCGTCTGACTCATTACTGCCTTCTCCGCTTGGTTAGTAAGAGTCTGTTACCAACTTGATTACTTCTGGGCCAGTCCTCCTCCAGCTTTCATGGGACTACACATCAGCTGGGGTTCAGATTCCGATCCGGCGGGTCTGAGTGGGCCCGGGGTCTGCATTCCTAACACGCTCCCGGTAGCGCAGCAGGGCTCACAGCTCACTCTCTTGTGAGGAACCTGACATCAGATAAGTGAATCAGCAAGGACGAAAGGCAGACCTTGCAGGTGGAATGAATTCAGGGGAGGCACCTCCAGTCCACAAACACATCCAGAGGGCAGACAGCATCTCCAGTCCTCCCGTGTTCTCAGCACCGAACGCTCTGTCACAGGGAGGCATGAGTCATCACTGAGTGAATGAATGAATGAATGAATGAATCTCAGTCAGTCCTCACCTCTCCCCTGCCTGACACTGCCCAGGGGCTTTCTAGGTCTAGGAAACCCCGCGAGGCTCACCATGGCCCACAAAGCCGGATCTGACCTGGGTCCTGCCTCCTCTCTCATCCCTCCTTCTTCCCACACCCTCTACACACACACACACCCATGTCCACAACACTAGGCTTTTTCTTGCTTCTCTAACACACTAAGCTTTTCCTTGCCTCGGGGTCTTGGCACCTGTCCTCCCCGCGACCTGGAATGCCCTTCTTCCAGCTCTTCCCATAGCTGGCTGCTTCTCGTCATTCATAACTCAGCTCACATTTCACCTCCTCAGCAGCTGTCCCTGATGGACCCGTCTAACCTGTTGTACGCACACCCCACCCAAAACCCTTTATCGTGCTTTTCATTAGCCTTTATCAACCTGAAAATATTTCATTTGTTTACTTGCTTTTTTTTCTGATTCTCCTATCAGAAAGCAAATTTTATGAAAGCAGAGACCTTACCTACAACCCCTGGCCCATAGTAGGTGCTCAGTAAACAGTTGGGGAATAAATGGATGAATGCTCTAACACACACCAAGGAACCCATCATTTGCTTCTGTCTTTGCAATAAGGGAGGGAGAGACTGAGCACTGTGTGAGGCCAGAAGATAGAGCGATCACTTCCTCCTGGATGAGGACATAGGGGTGGTAATCAGGGCAGACTCCCTGAAGGAGGTGGTATTTAAACTTCACCTTGAAGGGTGGAAAGGATTTTGACAGGGAATGAAAGGCAGAAATGGCCACCCCAGGCAGAAAGAACATCCTGGGCAGAGCCTGACA